GTGCTCCGTCACAGAACGACCCAGTAATTAAGTTGCACTCTACTTTTATACAGTTTATTTTCACGTTTTCATTTTCATTTAGAATATCACGAAACCCGATAGTATTACACCCAGGTTCGATGTTTGGTATCGAATTATTTGTCTGTAAGCTCAAAAGACATATCTGTGCAGTGCTTCCTACTTCCAACGGTGGAAAAATGTCACATGACAATTCACTCGAGTTCCCGTTCAATGTTATCGTGTACATGATAAAAATTTTAAGCACAAGTGCCCACAGTTTGTAGTATTATATTTCTGTTCTCTGCTATAATTGAAATTGATGTTACACCCGTGAAAATATTTTTGTACTTCTAATGGAGGTTTTAGATTTCCAAAACTGTCATAATATTGAACTTGATTTCCTATTTTTTTGTACGCTACCCAGTGAGTACCTGTACCGTGTTCCGAGTCCAAGTTAACAATCGCTGATTCTATTCGTTTACGACGTACGGGTAACCTGTCTCTTGTAAATACACCGATGAAATGAGGTATTTTCATTAAACGAGCGATTTTTATAAGTTCGTAATCGTACAGTGCTCTTCTGGGTAACGTAGATATTAGTTTTTTTTCGGTTTTGAACCCCCACCACTTTTAAATGGTGTAGCAGCAGACCCAATTTGTACGAGTTGCCTTTATACGGTGCGTGATATAACCTACCACTTAAATGCGATGGCGTGTTCCTTTTAAATTCATTAGCCAACTTAACGACGTTGGCAATTCCGCCAGTCAGTGCTCCAAGTGCCGATAAACCAACGAAAATCGGAATAAGTGGTAACACCCCGCCCTTTTTTGGAATTGTTATAATCCTTGGAACTTTAGTTTTTCTTTTTTTGAATGTTTTTCGTGCGACGGTTAGACATTTTTTACTTAATTTCATCAGGTTTTTTTCATCGATATTTTTCTTTATAGCGTTTTTAGCTGCTTTAAACCCACATCCAGCCCCGATTTTACGTTTTTCTTTCATGGCGGTTGTCACGCCCCAAGCTTTCTCTTTTAAATTTGAATCTTTAGCCTTAAACCTATCCCAGGCTCGCTGCTCTAATATATAATCGGCTTTGTTACGATCTGCGAAAGAATTACTATTTTCATACGCAATACCGTGCTCTCTACAAACAGAATTCAGAAGGTTTATACCTTTGTCACCACGAGCTATCCGTTCTTTTAAATTTGTACCAGGACCACAATATTGATAACCTGGTAAACGGTCACTTTGTACGGTCCATTGTTCTAAATGTACAACGCGGACACTTTGTACGGTCGGGTAAAAAGGTACATTGCAGAACGCGGACACTTTGTACTATTATATACATAAAGTATATATATTATAAATATAAGTTATATACCTAGGTTAGCAAGTAAATAATAATATATATTATATATGACAAATTTTACTAAAAATTTTATAAATACATTTTATATAATCTGGGGAATCTAACCTTTTGCAATGTTATAAATGCATTTCACTAAGACGCTGTCATATTATACATGTAGGTTTTAAAGATTTTTTTAAATATTAAAGAATGGAAATTTGATATTTTATAGATCGTTCATTTTGACGAATTATTCTAAAATTGATTTATTAAACCCTTAATATTAAATAATTATGTATGTGCACTTTTTATCTAAGCTTGATACCATTTTGCCATATTTTCATATTATTATACTATACAATATTATGTAGTTTTTTTAAATTTTTGTCAATATTATACTTTACTTGTCATTTTGAGATATTTCCATATTATATCTACTATGCATGTAGTTTTTAATGATTTTTTTTCATTATTATATTTTATTTGTCATTATGACATATTTATATTGTACACATTTTTTATTTGCTTTAAAACTAATATCTAATATTATAATACAATTAAGATTTATAATAATATTATTGATTGTTTGATTATTAAATTATTTTGATCATTATTAATATACGATAAACAATTTACTTTTAATTTTTAATTTTTATATTTTAATAATTTACATTTTAATTTATAATATTATTATATACTTACTACTTAGGTATATAACTTATATTTATAATATATATACTTTATGTATATAATAGTACAAAGTGTCCGCGTTCTGCAATGTACCTTTTTACCCGACCGTACAAAGTGTACGCGTTTCGCACTTTTAATGCTCGACCGTACAAAGTGACCTAGAACCTGATAACCTAGAGAGAGAAATATTATTATTATTATTATTATTACTAATATACGCATATTATAATGATCTCACCAGGTACGTGAAGCTCGATTGGTAATTTGTTTATAAGCGTGTTGATAAGACCAGCGCATTTATTGTTGTTCCTTCTTCGAGCGAGTGACATCGTGTACTGATCAAGTTCACAGTATTACAGAGATATTTATTTAAAAATGAAATTCCTTAAACAAGATATACAACTCACAGTTGAAAACGTGGACCCACCTACTTCGTATAAAAAACAAAGACATGGGGTGCTCCTACCTAATACGATAAAATCACTTATCGTGGGTCCTTCAGGTTGTGGGAAAACTAATTTAATATACACATTACTAACACACATAAACGGTATACGATTTCACAACGTTTACATATATTCAAAAACATTGGATCAACCAAAGTATAAATTATTGAGTGATATTTTATCAGACATTGCTGGAATACAATTATTTACGTTCTACGAAAACGAACATGTTATTGAACCTGAAAAAGCTTTACCAAACTCTGTGTTTATTTTCGACGATATTATTACTGAAAACCAAAAGATTGCAAGAACTTACTTTTCCAGAGGTCGGCATAATTTAATAGATGTTTTCTATTTAGCTCAGAGTTATTCAAAAGTACCTAAGCAACTTTTGCGCGACAACGCTAATTTTATTGTACTGTTTAAACAAGACGAGACAAATTTAAAACATGTTTACATGGAACATTGCTCTGGTGATATGTCATATCCAGAGTTTAAAGATTGTTGTACTTCATGTTGGCGTAAATGGAGATTTGAGTTTATCGTCATAAACAAAGACAGTGAACGCGACAATGGGCGATATCGTTACGGATTCGATATGTTCGTCGTTATATAAACTAATGTTTTTACTAAAAACACTTCATTCGCAAATATGTCGTCTAACAACGAAGTACTCGGAGAATTAATCAAAGCCAAAGAAAATATAAAACGCAAGTATGCCGCATTAAAACACGGAAAAGCATTAAAACCAATTATCAATCCATTAAACGAGATTCAAAAGTCGACATCGCAACCTCAGGAGATAACTGTTCAAAATATCGAAAAAAATAATACAGAAAATTCTAGAGTTTTTAAAATAAACGAGTTGTTGGATTCGTACAGCATAGACAAAACATATGGTCCAAAATTGCAATCAAACGGACACGCATATTTGGGTAAAAAAGAAATTAAACTTAACGGAAATACATTAATTATTGAAGATACATCATACCCGTTAACACAAGGACTTGTTAGTTTAATAATTTCGAAAACTCCGAAAATCTATACCGCAGACGATCTAAACACATATAAACGCATATTAATCCAAACATCGGCACATTTGACATCAGACGAGAAAAAAATTAAAAAAGGTGGAAATAAATTCATCGACATAATCAAATCATTGTTCCCGTCTGGTAGTGGGTTATCTGTGAAATTACAAAATAAAAGTTTAGTATACTGGAATGATCCTAATGAGTTAGTCGAACGTTTACGACTACTTTTAGCTTCTCAAGCTGCTGGTAATACAGGGCTTTCCAACGAAATACTTTCAATTTACGAAGAATTGTATGAAGCGGGTTTGATAAAACGAATTCCAAATGTCTAAACGTGATATCGCTTTCGAACTACACAAACCAGCAAGAAAAAATTATACGAGGCGTAGAGTTAATGTTTATGGTAAAAACGATCTATGGCAGACCGACTTGGTCGAAATGATCCCATACTCGAAAAAAAATAAAGGTTATAAATATATTTTATGCGTCATGGATTGTTTTACAAAATTTGCTTGGGCGACACCATTAAAGTCTAAAAGTGCTAAAGAAGTTTCGAATGCAATGTCTAAAATACTGCTTAAATGCGCACCAAAACTATTGCAGCTCGATATTGGTAAATAATTTTACAATACAACATTCAACACGTTAATGAATAAACATAATATACACAAATATTCTACCTATAGTACAACGAAAGCATGCATTATCAAACGTTTCAACCGCACATTGAAAGAAAAAATGTTTAGAGAGTTTACTGCACAAGGATCACACGAATGGGTTTCTATTTTACCTTCATTGATTAATGAATACAATAATTCAAAACATAGAACAATAGGTATGACACCTATACAAGCTGATACAAATCCTTCTTCAGTGAAAATAAAGCAACGTCAAATTATTAATGGAAAAATTAAATTTAACATTGGTGATAATGTTCGTATAAGTACATATAGAGGGGTATTTACAAAAGGATATTTACCAAGCTGGTCTACAGAAATATTTAAAGTAATCAAAATAAATAAAACTTCCCCCACTACTTATCAACTACAAGATTATACTGGAAAACCTATTGCAGGCTGTTTCTACTCTGAGGAAATTCAAAAAACCAATCACCCAAACGATTATTTAATTGAAAAAATTATACGTAAGAAGGGGGATCAAATGTTTGTAAAATGGTTAGGGTTTGATAATACACACAATAGTTGGATAAATATGCGTGACGTTAAAAAATAGCGTCAGTCGAGCTACAGACATGAACGTGTTCGGTAGTTCTCAGTCTAGTGAAACTAATACATTTTTAGTAAATCTCGAACAAATTGTTAAATCGTTTTCGTCTAAATTAGATAAAATCGAAAATCCGTTAATATACAACAAGAACAAACTGAAAAGCTTCAATTAATAATAATAGATTACATAAAAAAATCTGAAGCATCATTACATTATATCAAAGAAAATACAGACACGTTGAAAAATAAACCATAATGTCTTCGGCCATCTTGGACATGCAATGCGTCCTGGGAATGGACAATAAATACATGATTAAAGAAATGTCTATTGTAGACACAGAAACATGGGCGACCCAACATTGGATTTTTAAAAATTCAAAACTAAAGCAAGACAACAAGAGTCGTAAAACCAACAAGTGGCTGGAACGTAACTATCATCAACTATCCTTGGATTATGGTGATATCGAGTATGAAGAACTAAGTAGAATATTGAATTCATTAAAGTTCAGATGCATATACGTCAAGGGCGATCAGAAAAAACAAGTTTTCATGGAGTATATACCACACGTCGCACTCATCAACATTGAAGATTTAGGCTGCCCTCGTTTGGAACAAATATGCGATGACGAAACTCTATCTTGTTGTATTTTTCATATGGAATTTAATCCTAAACAATGTACATTTTATAAAGTTTTTGCTATAAGAAAATGGTTTATAAAGAATTCTTAAAAATAAAACATGATAATATTTTAACATTGTTTTTTTTATTTTACATTGGTAAACTTTATAGATTAAAAATATATAGATTACAAAATATACATGGTATTTACAAAATATATACATGATATGTATAAATTAAAAATATAACAATATATATATATATATATATATATATATGGTATTTACAAAATATATACATGATATGTATAAATTAAAAATATAAAAAAATATATATATATGGTATTTACAAAATATATACATGATATTTATAAATTAAAAATATGAGAAAATATAACAAAATATATATATATGGTATTTACAAATTAAATATACATGGTATTTATAATTATTTCAATATTGTACGTGTTGTAATAGAAATATATCTCAAGAGTAATATTTACAATATATCATAAAACTATATACAGGTTAGGTTATGCAGTGTAGACGGTCACTCATTAAGCCTTTCTCTTCCTCTTTCCAGTTATGTCCTTCTTCATCTAATTCAGGCCAATCATCCTCGGGTTCATCTTCCCTATAACATTATAAATATTAATATTAATTTATTTTAAATTTATTTTAAATTTACTTTAGAGAGTAATGTCCGTGAGCCAGTGTGTGCACTTTATCTTGCAGCACCACCCTCTTATCATCGAAGTTATTGAACGTTAATTTGTTCGATTTTATCGTCATCAGTTGATACTTGAAAGAGCGGATGGAGACATTTTCTCTTTTATTTTCCCCCTCCTCTTCCTCGTCAAACAAACACTTTTTATGATCGTCGAACGTCATGTGATTCTTTACAACGTGTTTTCTAATTCCCTTGGCTTTGATCTTCTCCTCACCATTCAAAATGTAAGAATATGACTTTGCTCGCAGCGCGCAAAACTCAGTCATTATGAGCCCATTCTTCTCATCAGAAAACAGACCTGGGATTTTCTGTCGTTCGGCAATGTAACATGGATGGTCCTCCGGTAAGTTGGAAGTATCCATTCGTTCGATCAAGTTGTTATTATGTTTAAGGTCTTCGTAGAAATTATCAGTGTGAATAAAACCTAACCTAACCAGTGAGTCTATAAATTGTGTAAATTATGTAAATATTTATAATAATAATAAATTGTGTAAATTATGTAAATATTTATAATAATAATAAATATAAATTATTTATTACCTGTGTTGGTATACATCAACTCGATTTTATCCCCATAGTGGCTTTTCATTACGTTATAATGATAATCATATATTAAACTCTTGCTTATGTCAAGAACTGCAAGACCTATGAACATTAAAAATCGCATTAATACCTTTATATATCTAAATTATTAATAGAAAAATTACCGATATAAATAGGTTTACAAAAATTAATGATTTTTTTTTCTAATGTTACTGCGTTTAAGTTTTCGGAATAGGTGGTGGAATATTTAAATGTCGATCTGTTTATTAATTTCTGCAAACGTCGGTTGCACGTTACAAGCTCCATTTCCATACGTTTACGAACGTTTTCCATCGTTTTTTAAAATTATTATTATTATTATTATTATTTATAATAACATACCGAATACAGCATTGTTCATCAATTTGAAGAAATCCCGCTCAAATTCATTTTCCGCCTTTTTCCTCATATTAGTGTTTATTCAATATACTGGGCAAGCCAAGGTGATTGCTTAAATTGAATAACTCTATGCATCTATAATATAAATGTTAGTAATTCTATGATAAAATATCATTATATGATATTCACCTTTTCAACTATGAGACCATTGTTTAAGGCTTGCTGGAGGTTTCGATAGTGAATAATATAATTTTTCTTAGGCTCAAATGTAGCCATGAGTTTGCGTACTTTTGAACCTGGTGGTACGCTGTTTTGTGGTAGGAATGGTAAGTCGTTATGTTTATTATGTAAATTTTTCGGATAAACAATGTCAACCTCGTAAACCCGTCCTATGGGCGAATCTTCAGTCAAATCGTATAAGCCGTCGAGTGATGGCTTAACCCACTTGAAATCTCCGTAGGGCATAAACTGAGACATTGCCCAGCCGTAAAGATTATTACCTAAAGTTTAAAAAGTTAATTTAACTATATAATTATTATTTATAAATAAACTTACAATCCTGATACACAAGCCATGATTTTGGATCTGCCGGGTTGTAATCTGGTGTTTTTTCATTGTTTGATTTTGCATACCGCATGCTGGCTTGTGTGAGTCCACCTCAAATACCTAGAAAAAATTGTTATTAAATGCATATAGAAATAACATAATCACAATATACTAACCGTCTTCAAACATGAGAAGCATTTCATAATCCGACAGTAATTCTAGTTTTATCGCCGTGTATTTCAACATTGCGTCGAAAGAGAACCCTTGTTTAATCAGTATGTTAAATTTTGTTAACAACTCTATTGGAACATTTTCCGAACTAAAAATCCGTAACTCATTGGACGGTGTTTTTGTATTATTGTTGTATTACCCCCCTTTTCCTCTTCGGTCTTTACAAGCAGAGCCTCGAAATCGGCATATATAACTATGGGATGTCTCTGCGCGTTTTGCCACGAGGTGAATTGTAGCACATCTCCTTCTTTTGGCATTATAGGTCGTATGGGTTTATGTGGTCCGCATATTAGCCTGTGATGTTCAAGCTTCGCCTGCCCGCTTAACTTATACTTTAAATTCTGTCTGTTGAACGATGTAAAGCAACGTTTACAGAATATAACTTGACCTGCATGACTAGTTTTTTGTGAACGGAGTAATCTCGAAAAATTTGAGATGTAAGTATAATGTGTATTATCACCATCCGTCACTAATAATAAGTCAAAGTGATCCCGTTTTTCATCATCTACGACTTTGAGTGGGAAAACCTCTTATGAAGGATACTTTTTCGGTGGCTGTAATCGTTTTTCAAGTCCGTAAACATTTACAGAAACGTTCTGATTATTTTTTTTAAACTTGGTAATATCTGACAGCGGTGTCGGGAATGAAATTCCGTTAAAAATATATTTGTCCTCATGCTCCTTATAATTTTCATTGACACGACATTTATTCTGTCCAGCAACGTGCTTTGCCAATACAGCCCATTTAAAGCACTGTTGGTCTATATTTTGAGGATTTATTATTGCCCTTTTATCTATGATGGATTTCGGTAATTCTATATACGACGAACCAGATATCGGTGCATACTTATAAATGGCTAGTAGCAAACCATCGATAGACTGTAACATAAACCCGCTACCACGAGAAACATAGGCCTCTTCCTCAGATAATAAATTTATGAAAGCTTCTTCGACTATTGTTTCGATTTGTGTGCCTATAAAAATTTCTTTGGCTGATGTTGTAAACGCTCGATTTTCGGATGAATTGGATACATTTGGACGGTTAAACGTAGCCTCGAGCTTCAAGCTAAATTTTATTGGATGTCCCTGCACGTGAGTTTTTAGATTGTCTGACATAGCCGGTTCGAGAGAACGGAGAAAGTCGGGATAATTTCGAATATTATTAAGATTTTTCGAGAAATACCACACTATTTTACGTTTTCCTGACGATGAAATCTCAACAAGACCCGGGGATGTAACCAGTTCCATACGAGCCTTTTTCGCCTTAACAGCCGACACTGTGTTGGCGGTGGAAACGCGTTTGCCACCCACCGAAGTCATATAAGAATCTACTTAAAATAAAATAAAATAAAATCTAGCGACGATAATGTATAAAAAAAAAAATCTTACCTGGCGCATCGCATAGCCCTGCATTTTGAGCATTTTCTAAAACTGCCACGCACATATCGTCATATTCATCGTTTGGCATATTCGACTGATGTTGAAGCTCGTTTGAGGGGCCAGCGGGTATATCTAGTACTATAATATCCGGGGCGATATCTATTTCACCTCGTTTCAGTGGTCGAGCGCGTACAATACCTTATAAAATAAATATTGAATTAAATATTAAAATAAAAAATAAGAATCTACTTAAAATAAAATCGAACGACGAAACCCTCACAGCACAAAGACCTTCCTACGATGGTCATAGGATGGTCAATCAGGAATTACGGTACTTATATGGGAACTTCCTTTTTTGGTCCTAAACCTTCCAGGTGGGTTCCAAGGCAGTCTATAGACTTCCTGATGTCCGAGTTGAGACCATTCATAGGTACTACCCAATATCTTCCCTATAGACGGTAATTTGGACACATTAATAAGCCACCCATTTCGGTCCAATTTAATGCCCATTTCAGTCATAAATGATGCCTAATTGAGTCTAATATGACATATTTTTAGTTCCTAGAAGATTCCCAAAACAGTCTGAAATAATAGCTCTCATAATTTTATTATGATGCCCATTTAGGTCGACACACTTCCCAAATCAGTCAGACATTTTATGTATTTATAGGCATTAAATGATTCCTGACAGCATCTGAAAAAGTGCCCGTATTAGTCAATATTAAGATGACTATTTGGTCGACACACTTCCCAATTGATTTATAATGTATATATTATACATTATACTCTTTAATGATTCCTGAAGCTATTAAAAATATTGTGCATACTGCATATAATAATAATGTCATTATAGTAGTATTTTCACAATATTAGACATAAAAAAAACAATACCTTTGGATCTTCCTAAATGGTCTTATTAATGCACCAGAACAATTCTCAAAAGCATATTACCATTACAGTTATATGTGATAATATTCTAATTAATACTGGAATAAGTCATTTAACAACCAAAAACTATCAAATTTGTATATAATTTTCAAAATAAATAAATTGAAGTGGATAATAATAATAGTATTGTACGAACAAATTCATTAGATAAGAAAAAATAATATTTTTTATATTGTGATAGTTAAAACATGGGCAGTATGATATATACAATATATGAAAATATAAGTCACAATATTGAAGTAAAATTGAATCGAACATCATGATAATAGATTTTCAATAGATTCGTAAAAATCATGGACAGTGTAAAATGATATATAAATTTGACAATATTTAATTTACAATAAAATTGTTGACTAATAATATAAATCAAACTACCTACATGATTATACGTTTTAAAGATTACATAGCCAATATTATGATATTTAAGTGAAACAATATTGAAATATAAATTAAGTAGGTACTATTTTTAAATAATAATAATAAATCAAACATGATAATAGATTTTAAATACACACGTAAAAAATCATGGGCAGTATAAAATTATATATAAATTTGACAATATTTAATTTACAATAAAATTGTTGACTAATAATATAAATCAAACTACCTACATGATTATACATTTTAAAGATTAGCTTTATTGTGTCTTTCATAGCGCTCTTTGGCATGTTTGAGCCAACCTGTTACAGCTTTATTTATAGATGTTACACTTGCTCCTTTGACATTTTTCAAAATAACACCTTAAATTGACAAAAAAAACATTGTTTGTATAGGTATAATTGACACATTAAGAATATAATTATTAACAACTCACCAGAAATAATTTTAAACAATAATGTAGATTTAAGGGGTTCCTTATCTTTCTTATTCAATGCACCACGGCCAGTTAAAGATATTTTGCATCCTAGATGATTTGTAAAAAGTATATCCATAATAGATTTAGTTACTAACGATACACTTGGACCATGGAATTGTCTAAGCTTTTTAACCTGTGAACAAAATTTCCAATAAAAATAATCAATTTATAAATTATAAAGCAACGTTAGTTCTAAAATATTTACCAATTTTCTTGAAAACGATTTATCACTCTTAAGAGTTACATTAATTTCATTCAATTTATCCAAGGTATCAATTGGAAATCCTTCCAACATAACATCATCATCACACATACTTTCATTATTATTGGGCTTCAAGTGTTTGACTATGTCTTCCAACATTTGTTGTTGTCTTGCCTGATTTAATATAACTTTATTCATCTTTACATTTAATTCAACTAATGAAGATATTGTAAAATCTGAATTTTTTTTATTTTCGGTAGCTAAAATGAATACAATTTTGCATTATAACGACAGATATTTTAATCAATTTGCATCATGGTGAAGTCATTGCTCCACTATAAATCACTAGTACCGGTTGCCCAAAACATGTAAAAGGATCTGATAGTATTGTATCTTATATAAAGGAAAAAAATTAAAAATGTATAAATTAATCAGTATTTCACATAAGTAAAGGTCCTTGAGAAAATTGATAACTAGCATCTAAAATATAACAAATAAATAAACAATCAATATATAATTTTATACAATTGTTTAAGTTTTTTCATAATAAACATACTTTTAGGACTATTATTTTGTAGTATTCTCATTTGACGATGAGTGTTGCACAATGGTGAAAGTTCTTTATTTGACTGTACTAGAATATTAGTTGTATCAAGGTTAGGTTAATATGGAAAACATTTAGGTAATAGGTAGTATTTTATTATGATTATTATTATTTTTGAATCAAATATTTTTTTTTTTTTTTATCTTTTTAAGCCCAGCGACTATGGCCATTAGTTGTTTGTGGGGTTTA